GAGCAACCTCCATGACCAGACCAATGCGGCGCTCGGCAATCCCATTCTGCTGTTTAGAGGCCGAAAGCGTTTACGACTGGACGATGCCCTCAGCACCACAGAAGTCCTCAAGGAGGCGGGAGGAAAACTCACCACCTCGGTCAGAGTGCAGCCGCAAGACTGGACGGTCCTGACGGAACCGAGCGCGAAGCTGGAGACGGACAGCGCGGATCCAGCGGATCAAGACATCGCGGACATCCGCCTTGCTCTTCAAGGGGAAGACCGTGGTGTAGCGCGTGTAGTCGTCTACAACCAGCAGAAAGTAGTGCTCGCCACCCTGTCTAGTGACGCGGGCAGGGCCCCACATGTCCATGTGCAGGGTCTGCAGAGGAGTAGTGGTAGGAGGAAACGAGGAGGAGTGAGGAGCGGCGCGCTGCCGGCCCTCGACGCAGGGAAGGCAGGGCGGTGCAAGCGACCTCGGAAGCGGGGGCAGGGACCTGGGGAGACCAGATACAAGGAGACGGGAGTGCATGCCATGTAGGCGTGGCAAGGAGGGGTGGCCAAGACGGTGGTGCCAGAGGAGAGTCTGGTGCGTGAGGAGACGACACGAACAAGACGCAGCGACCTCAACCGACGCAGCTACCTGACCTGACTCAGCTACCAGTGCAGACTTAGTGGTCAGTGTGTACAGGCCAGACCCAGGCCTCCGAGTGAACGTGGCGAGGTGCTCACTAGTGCGCGAGTCCGTACAGATCGCCACTAGCTCGCCTCCAGGCTGGGTGACAGTGACCCACTGGTCCTGGAGGACAGAGGTAGCCACCAAGTTCTTAGCAAACGAGGGGAGGTGGAGACCTGTGAGGAGGCCAGAAGGGGCCGCCGGACAAGGGAGAACAGTAGCGCCACGCTCGACTACCGGGCCCCCGGAGGGGTCGGCAAGTGTGACTGGGACAGGGGCTGTGAGCGGTGTGACTGTGGTGTTGTTGCGGAAGAAGCAACGAGACGCGCCTGAGTCAAGAGTAAAGGTGTGCAAGGCCTCCTCATGCTCTGCACCTGTGCTAGCTGAGTCAAAAGCACCAAGTCTAGCAACCTCTACGCCACCAGGTGCCTCTACAACCCCAGTACGAGTACTTCGAAACCCTCCGCCACCGGGGCTGCCCCACCGGACAGCCCACTCACGAAGCTGCTGTGGGGAGAGAGTCTCCGGCGGACGCTGCTGCTGCTGCTGTCCACCCCCAGAACCTCCGCGTCTACCAGCGGCACTACCAGCAGGAGTAGACTCACAGGGACCTCCAGTAGTAGCACCCCAGGCTCCGCCACCGGGGCTGCCCCATCGGACAGCCCTCTTGCGAAGCTGCTGCGACGAGAGCGTCTCCTGCCGACGAGTACGAGGACCGCCAGCACCAGCACCTCCAGCTCTAGCACGGCTAGCTCCGCCACCGGGGCTGCCCCACCAGATAGCCCACTCGCGAAGCTGCTGCGGCGAGAGAGACTCCTGCACACTCGGCTACCGCTGAAGTAGGACAGTGGTAGTGGCCATGGCAGGCAGTGGCAGCTAGTAGCAGCAGCTGCAGCTTAGCAGCCGCAGCAGCGCAGCAGCAGTAGCACAGGCGGCAGTAGCAGCGTAGCAGCACTCGGAGCAAGGCGGCGCTAGCGCGGGACAGGGCAGCGCGGGGCAGCGCACGCGGGTGGCAGCAGCACCTAGGGCAGCAGCAGCAGGCGGCAGCACCTAGGGGGACAGCACCTAGGGCAGCAGCAGGTGGCAGCACCTAGGGCGGCAGCAGTAGCACCTAGGGCGGCAGCAGCAGGCGGCAGCACCTATGGGGACAACACCTAGGGCAGAAGCAGGCGGCAGCACCTAGGGCGGCAGCAGCAGCACCTAGGGCGGCAGCAGCAGGCGGTAGCACCTAGGGCGGCAGCACCTAGAGCGGCAGCAGCAGGCGGCAGCACCTAGGGCAGCAGCAGGCGGTAGCTCCTAGGGCAGCAGCACCTAGGGCGGCAGCAGCAGGCGACACTTGCGCGTGGGCAGGGCAGGCGCGGGCAGCGCGAGCAGGGCAGGGCAGGGCAGGTGCGCGTGCAAGGCAGCAGCGCGGGGCAGGGCGCACGCGCGCGGGCAAGGCGCTTACGGGGCAGGGCACGGGTCATTGGGCAGCAGGGCGCGCTGGGCGCTGGGCAGCAGGGCGCGCTGGCGCACTGGGCAGCAGGGCGCGCTGGTGCGCTGGGAAGCGGGGCGCGATGGCGCGCTGGGCAGCGGGGCGCGCTGGCGCGTTGGGCAGCGGGGCGCTCTGGCGCGCTGGGCAGCGGGGCGCGTTGGGGCGCTGGGCAGCAGGGCGCGCTGGCGCTGTGGGCAGCAGGGCGCGCTGGGCAGCAGGGCGTACTGGCGCGCGGGCAGCGCACGGGCAGCGTGCGGGCAGCAGGCGGGCGGCGCGAGCAGCAGGCGGGCGGGCGCACTAGGCAGCGCGACAGCGCGCGGTTTTGGCCAGGCAGCGTGGTAGCGCGCCGGGCAGGGTAGGGCAGCAGCGCGACGGTGTGCTGGTAAGGGAGAAACGATGGGCCGGGCAGGGGAAAAAAGCGACTACCGGGCAGAGCGGAACGAATACGGTGGGCCCTAAAAAAATCGGTCCTAACCGGGACCTACTATGAAACCATGTTAAGAAAGGAATGATTGCATTGAGCAGAAAGATGAGTACAAGTATGAAACCCTAAAGGGTTGTACTCACTAGAGTATGCCCCACTACAGCCTAGAGACATACAAATATAATTTGACATGTCGATCCCTGCCAAATAAGACAGAAGGGAGAGAGAGAGTGGATTAGATGGCCTGGCATACCCGTGCACAATACAGTTGAAACCTGCAAAGAAACTCCTCATGGACAACATAAGTGTATGCAAAACGAATACCTGGAAGGATGTGGTCCGTCTCCTGTGCCCTGAACAGCGACACGAGTGACATGAGCCACTCGAGATACTGTTTGTGGCGCTCCGCTCTCCCAAGCTCCCACTCGTCTGGCATGAAGAGCCTCACTCCCACAAGGGAGTCCAAGTCTTTGAACCTGTTGCTGAGGTTTCGCACGAGCGTTTCGGCGAACGAGGTGCAGAGTTCGACGTAGGCGTCGTGACTTCCCAGGGTTGGGAAATCTTCGCATGGGTTCTCGTGCAGCTGGAACGTGTGTGTAGTCGGCCGACCGTCCGAGTCCACTCCCTGCACCGTCACCCAGGGGCGGCCACCGTCAGGCCCGTGCTTCTTGATGAATGGGGATAGGCGCGCGCTCATCCCGCCTCCGAAATCGTCACCACAATCGACGTAGCGGGACTCGAGGTAAGACAATGATCTCCGGATCTGTGCATGGACACCTGCAATGTCAAGCTATTAGTGGCCGACAGAAAGAATACAGAGGGAGACAAGAACAACAGTGGCAATGAACACAAAATCAGAGCGGTGCAGCATGTTTTTGCAGTCAACAGTAATCCATTAACAAACACAAACAGAATGCAAGCAAATAATAACGGGACATCATGGGAGGTGCTGCAGACGCTGTACACAGAGATGCAAGCAACCCTGCTCACCTCTCGCTGCTGGAATGATTTGTTCAAGACGTTCAGCTGCTCGAGCACGTCTGCAAGGAAGTACAACAGGAAGTGAAACCTGTAGCTGGTCGCGAGCTCGTACAGTCTACTGTCCCACTCATACAGCATGACGATGAGCGCGGGGAAGACCTCTATCACGCGTAGAATGGCGTCACCCCTGGAGAGCCAGCGGACCTGGTGAATCCCTTGGAGCTCCAGGTTCGTAGCCGTGAAAACTTCATGAAGCGCAAGAAACCGTTGGTGCCAAGGGTTAGAACGCCCCAGATGCTCAGCCACTTGGCGGAGCAGCGAGTCGACCATCTCGAACTCGGGGAGTGCTTCAGCTGCATCTTTTGCTGCGAGCGCCTCCCTGCGTTCACAACAAAACACAAACCGGCAACACGAGGCATGAGCACGGGTTGCTACAGGTAAACCGGAGTAGCGGAAACTCAACCGAGAACGTACCTGTGGGCGATGCAGTGGCTTGAGACGAGATGCGGTATGCGGAGGCGGAGTCGAGCAACAAGACCGTTCTTTTTTCCCATCATCACACTCGCGCCGTCGGTGCTTATGCCGGCGATCCTGGCAAGATCAATGCCGAGGGCCTGCATGTGGGACAGGAACACTGAGAGGAGAGAGGCGGCATCGCCCTTCTCCACAGTCAGCAGGGCAAGGAACTCAGTGACGACACGGTTCTCACGGATGAAAGTGCCAAAAATAATCATGTGCTTTCCCCGACACCTGTCCGTGCTCTCGTCACATTTAACGCCGATGTACGGGCTTGAAAGGATGTGCTGCGTTGCGTTGTGTGCAACCACGTGGCCATCGACTGTGTTAGTTGCCCGAAGCCGTATCTGTGGCGCATGTGAAACAAGACAATGTCAGAGATATAAGTTGCGATACAAAACCACAGCTTACATGTTTGGAAAAGGGTTACTCACGTAGTGTAATAGGTTCCATGTCCTTTCGAGGGGAAACCAGGAACCTTCTGCGCCGTGAGGTAGCGAACAAGATGCACCCATAACTCTATGGGTGCATCTTGCTTGGTGACAAAGAGGAGGGAGTCGAGCAGCTTGATGACACGTTCCTTCTCGGTGTCGCGAGCAAGGTTGTCGCCGTTGATCCGGGGCTGCCTGGCAGCTTCCGATATAAGTTTTTCCTGGCTCTTGATCGCCTCCTTGTGCTTGGTTGTTGCTGCATGCCTTTTGAACGCCTGCGTATGTACGTCTGTGGCGCCCTTACCGCCTCTCCCGCACGGTCCAGCGTAGCCTGCGTGCTCCGTACAGATACTGCACTTGAAAGCAGGGAGACCGTCAGCAGGTTTTAGCAAAATAAGCCACGAAAACCTCTCCAGCCACTCGCTTTTGTACTTATAAAGAGCCTCGGTGTAAATCGCGTCAGGGCCTGCCGGTTTAGAAGGCCCAGGAACAGATGGCGACACCTGCGTGCCAGCGATCATGGGCGACGACCGTTGGTCGGCTGGTGAAGGTGGAGTAGCTCGCTCGTCAACGCCCTTTGTGCACCATGGCAGCGTTGACTGTGTGAATTCCCCGTTCTTCTTAGCCACGGGAACTGCCGCTGTTTTTTCAAGAGAAGGCGAGGAGCTGTCTTGCTCCATCACTGGCGCGGTAGGGGATTCACACAACCCCTCAGCATCGATGGGTTCGAACGGAATATAGTCGGGCGGCGCGACTGCAGTTGCCTTTCCATGGTTGTCGACTTGCGCTAGGGTAGAGAAAAGCAGATCTAGGCCGGTAACATCATCGGAAACATCAATAGGCGGACTACGATGCGCATCATCGCCTTGGTCGCCATGGTTTTCTATGCCGTCATGGGGGTCCGCCATAGCTTGCAGCGCTACTAAACAGCACCTAACCAAAGGTACGAGTCAAACTAGAAAGAGGATTGCCAGGGCATAACCCTCGACACGGCTGACTGCCTCTTGGTACGCTGGGCAGGAACGCGAGGAAACCCCATGCGGATGGAAAGCATGGAGCAGAATGGGAGCCTGGATGGCAGGTAGCACGGCTGGGCGGCGTGGATGCAACCCATCATGGGAGCATCAGTGCTTGCCAACACGACCTAGACAAAACGCGCCACAGGTGCAAGCAATGGGACAGATACCCACCTGTGGTCGTCCCTTGCTACATGCATGGCTTGTGGTGGTGGTGGTGCTACATGCATGGCATGTGGTAGTGCTGCTACATGCATGGCATGTAATGGTGGTGCTACATCCATGCCATGTGGTGGTGGTGTTACATGCATGGCATGTGGTGGTGGTGGTGGTGCTACATGCATGGAATTTGGGGGTGGTGCTACATGCATGGCATATGGTGGTGGTGCTACATGGATGGCATGTGGTGGTGGTGCTACATCCATGCCATGTGGTGGTGGTGTTACATGCATGGCATGTGGTGGTGGTAGTGCTACATGCATGGAATTTGGGGGTGGTGCTACATGCATGGCATGTGGTGGTGGTGCTACATGGATGGCATGTGGTGGTGGTGCTACATGCATGGCTTGTGGTGGTGGTGGTACTACATGCATGGCATGTGGTGGTGCTGCTAGATGCATGGCATGTGGTGGTGGTGCTACATGCATGCCATGTGGTGGTGGTGTTACATGCATGGCATGTGGTGGTGGTGGTTCTACATGCATGGCATGTGGTGGTGGTGGTGCGACATGCATGGCATGTGGTGGTGGTGTTACATGCATGGCATGTGGTGGTGGTGCTACGTGCATGGCATGTGGTGGTGGTGCTACAGGCATGGCATGTGGTGGTGGTGCTATGTGCATGGCGTGTGGTGGTGGTGCTACATGGATGGCATGTGGTGGTGGTGCTACATGCATGGCTTGTGGTGGTGGTGGTGCTACATGCATGGCATGTGGTGGTGCTGCTACATGCATGTCATGTGGTGGTGGTGCTACATGCATGCCATGTGGTGGTGGTGTTACATGCATGGCATGTGGTGGTGGTGGTGCTACATGGATGGCATGTAGTGGTGGTGGTGCTACATGCATGGCATGTGGTGGTGGCTCTATATGCATGGCATGTGGTGGTGGTGCTACGTGCATGGCATGTGGTGGTGGTGCTACGTGCATGGCATGTGGTGGTGGTGCTATGTGCATGGCATGTGGTGGTGGTGGTGCTACATCCATGGCATGTGGTGGTGGTGCTACCGAGTGGTGGTGGTGCTACCAAGTGGTGGTGTTACATCCATGGCAAGCGGTGGTGGTGCTACATGCATGGCATGTGGAAGTAACAACTGAGGGCAACTGACCTCCACTAGGAATACAAAGCGGTCCACATAGAGGAGGACCTTGGCAGATGGTACCTGGTGTGCATAAGGAATGAAACAGCATGGTGCGAGGGGCAGTTAGAAATACGAGGTTGCTCCAACATCACTCGGAACAATCTCAGTCAGTGTGCCAATGATTGCAAGCAAACGTGGGTATAGAGCAGACAGGTTAACAAGGGCCTGAAATCGGTTGCCTGTCTTGCACATGCAAGTATGTGATGACCATAGACAGCAGTGATTGCATACAGTCCTTGATGCAGCTCTGCACTGACCCCGGCAAGGCATGGAAAGGGCATGATGCTGCATTCACGTCCGCTCACCTTCACATGAAGTATCACAAGCACCGAATTGTCTCGTCGAACTTTTTTGTCATGGGTTATGACCGCCGTCTACTAGTATGCGAGGTCATAATTTCTTGAAATATTATGAGCGCGTATTGTTCAGCGCGTGTCGTACGTGTTTATTTGTTGAGTCCATGACAAGATACTATTTTCTGTTCAAGAGATAGCCCATGTCAAGAAAATCCTTCGGCGCAAAAACAAATACACCCTTTTTGGATGGCATGCAATGTAGTATGAATCAACACTAAACACCGCGAGGCAATGTGTTTAGGGTTGACGCTTCCTGAATGGCTTGCCATCCGAGAGGGGTTTTTTTTTGCCATCGTGAAGACATTCTTGTTAACATTGATTATATAACACAGACGTCATCATCTCGGAACTAACACATTCAGGCACAAACATCTTGAATCGCTTACGTTCTCGAGAGCACATTGATGCGCCAGCGAAAACGCGAGCCATTACGAACCACCAATAATAGAAAAAGAGGTTACTAAACAATGACTAATTACTATTCCCCCTATATGTAGCGGCTTGGTCAGCGCCGGACTTTCGGCCCCCGGTTGCCCTGTAGGAGTGAACTGTTGATGCTCGTGTGGCACCAGCATGGCGAGAAAAATTTCGCGCGGCACAAAGTTTCGCCACAGTTGTCTCGTCATCAGAAAATCGCATCTGCAAAAAGCATCTTGCAAAATTACCAACTCACCACGGCACGATCCATATATCCAGACAGCAAGGCAGCATTCTCTCTTCACCAATACAAATCCTTCAGTCCTCCACCTCATCTCTCCTCCTATCCTCCTCACATTTCCAGTAAAAAAATCCACCAATCAATCAAGATTCTTCACCAAGCCTTAAAACCAAAGCCACCTTCACTCCACTCACCAAGCGCCGGATACATCACCTTCTACTTTATCCAACTCAACCAATCAAACAATTCCTTCCTTCCTCCCCCTCCTCATCCCAGCCTTGAGCTTAACTAAATTCGAAAAGGGCTCAAACTCATTACATCAATTCATACTTTCAAAGTTTCATAAAGTGTTACTCTAAGTTCTCTCATGCTCACTGCCAACTTCAACTCCTCCTCCTCCTCAAGCTCCAACTCCTAAGGCAACACTCAACTCCACCAACTTTTCCCAACCATGTGCTTCACCTTTAGAGATTATTATGCCTCATAGTTCATCTTCTAGATTCTCAAGAATAATTGATCTCAAAGCTGTTGATATAGCCAAGAATCGTAGTGGATAGGATAAGCTAGCCAAGTTTGTGAGAAGACTATAGAAGTCTTTGTAATGACCTTGTTGATAATGATTAAAGAGAACAAGATGATAAAGATAGAGATACAAGGGATTTAAATAGCAAATCTAGCTAGCCATGTACTCTGAGGGGTACATTCCCTTATTAACTGTATTGCATTGCTACACTAACCGCGACTATAGGTCTACTAGACAGTTACCAGGTTGCATCGTGTAACCTCCGAGTACGGTTACTGGGCGGTTAACAGTCGTGACCGTTGACTGACTGCGACTGTTGACCTCCTCGAGTGGCTTTCAGAATGCCGCGTGCTGTATACGAGCTTAACGCGATACTGGTACAGGTACGCTGCCTCGTAATGAAGCGATGAGCTAAGTGAAGCCTTCGCGAATGGTTATAATAACCATCGGTTATTCCAACACTCCCCTTCATTCCTGAACGTGGGATTTCTTCGAGATCCCGCAGAGGTCGGCGCAGTGCTGGTACTTCTGACGTGGCAGTTTTTTCATCAAGAAATATGCTTCCATGTCACCAGTTGGGCAATACGTGAGTTTGACTTTGCCCTTTTTGATCTCGTCCTTGACGAAGAAGTAACGGAGTGCCAGCTTCGTGCAATTACGAAGCCGGGATTGTTCGTGATCTTCATCGCGCTCTGGTTGTTGCAGAGTAACTTGAAGTGCCCGTTCATCGTCACTTTCGCCTCCTGCAGGAGCTCCATCAGGTACAGTCCTTCGCGAACAGCTGCGCTGGCGGCGATGAACTCTGCTTCGGCCGACGAAAGAGCAATGGGCTCCTGCTTTTGGGAGTTCCAGGAGATGATTCCAGCAGGTTGGAGTTGAAAAATTAAGCATGTGCGGGAGCGTCTGTTGTTGATGTCTCCCGCATGGTCTGCGTCTACATAGCCATAAAGCTGTATAGTAGCTGTCAAGTTGGCCGTGTAGGTGAGTCCGATGTCAGGAGTGGAGATGAAGTATTGAAGTGCTCAGCGTAGGTCTAGTAGATTCTCCCCTTCAGGTCGTCGCAGGTACTATGCGAGCTGGCTGGCGACGTAGGAGAGATCCGGCCGGCACGTGACGGCGGCGAACAGCAGGCACCCCAGCTGCTGCTGATAGAGGCGATGATTTTCGGTAGACAGTGGCGTGGTGTCGGGTTCGTGATTAGGAGGAGAAGTGCGGAAGGGGGTGGTGAGGTTGATTGGGGCGATCGCGAATTTCTTCGCGAGTGTTTCCACATACTTAGCGGCGGAGAGGTGGATGGAGGTGGCGGACTGAGTGATGTTAAGACCCAGGAATTGTGTGACGTTGTGGTTGATCGTCACCTCCAGATTATCCTTGATTTCCTCCTCGAACCGGTCGAGTAGTTCCGTGTCATCGCCGGTGTAGAGCATGTCGTCGACATAGGCGACGAGAAGGATGAACTTTCCGCGCGACTCCTTCCGGTACATGCCTTGGTCGTGTGGCAGCTGAACGAAGCCGAGTTCAATGAGGACCGTGTGCAGGTACTGCTGCCACAAGCGAGGCGCTTGCTTGATGCCGTAAAGAGATTTCTGGAGGAGGCAGATGGCGCCGTCGCTTTCCTCGAATGCGTGCGGCTGCTCCACGGAAGTGATGGCGTCGACGATTGCGTACAGGAACACGTTAGAGACGTCGATTTGCCGGAGTGGGCGCTGCTTGATGGCGGCGATGCATATGAGAATGCGCACCGAGGTGTGCAGACCGATAGGCGCGAAGGTTTGGTTGTAATCTACCATGTGAGTTTTCTCGAAGCCGCGCACCACCCATCTCGCCTTGTATTTATCGATGGACCCGTCCGCGAGCGTCTTAATCCGGAAGACCCATTTCCCGCTTAATATCTTCCTCTCTTTTGCAGATGATCGGGGAACTAGCTTCCAACTCCCGCGGCGCTTCAGTGCTGCAACTTCTGCTGCCATGGCTGCCTTCCATTTCTCGCTGTCTGGCCCAGACGGGGCCTGGTGCACGGTGGTGGGTTCCTTGGGTGAGGCGTGGCGAACTGCGACTGCGAGCCCAAGGATGGGGAGGCCAGTTTCGCTGGTCTCTTCGTAGGCGAGGCGATCGTAGTCGTATGCGCTGGTAACTTCGACAACGTCGTCGTCGCTGTCGTGGCCGGTGCGGGTGGTGTCTTGCGAAGGGTTTGCCGGTGGTAACTCGGCATCCGGAGTTCAGCGCGCTGTGCTGTTGTAGTTGTGGGCTTCACGAGTTGTATCGTTGGGATCAAATCGAGAAACAGGATGAACGTTGGAGTCTGGACTGGGCTTGTAAGGGGGATGTTGGGAAGGGAGTCGAATGGTGTGACGTTCGTTGCGTCTGCGTCTTCTGCCACGTCAGTCTCATCCTGTGATGTGGCGAAGCTGCGGTGCCCTTCGAAAACCCTTTCCGGTGCCTTGTCAGCTTCGCGGTGTTCCTTGAACAGTGGCAGAGTCAGTTTCTCGTAGAAGATGCAGTCACGTGATTTCGTCACTTCGCGTGTCGCGTAGTCCAGCACGATCCACGCTTTGAATTCCTTTTCAATCCCGAGGTGCATGCCCCAGCGTGCCCGGTCAGCTAATTTTCCGGTCCTTGCTGTGTGGGGTCTGTACTGTACCATGCAGCCAAACACCCGAAGCCAAACAGACGTGTGTCAGCTTTTCTGCCCATCCAAGCCTTGTAAGGTGAAGAGTTGTTCTTGAGGCTTCAGGATGAGAGCAAGTTGTGCAGCCGAACAGCATGGTTCATTGCGAACGACCAATACCGTGTTGGGATGGCAGACTGCTTCATTAGGGCCCTCATTCTTGTGGAGATGCTCCTGTTTTTCAGTTCTGCTACTCCTTGCCGCTCGTGTGCGTAGGGCAGGAACACCAAGTGCTCAATCCCCTTTTTGGCGAAGAGTTCCTTGAACTCAGTTGAGAAGTACTCCAAACCCCCGTTTGTCTAGAAGCTTTTTAGCTTCAGTCCCGATTGGTGTTCGGTGCGCTTCATCCATGTTACGAAACAGCGAAGGCTCGCGAGCGATAGTTGATGTTAAGTGCCCAGACGTAGCGCGTGCAGGTGTCGATGAAGGTCAAATGAACACGCTAATGAGCACGCTCATGATTACGCTAATGAACACACTGCGCGAGCAGGAACCAATCCTGCTCCTCGAACAGTGGCAGCACGAGCAGCTGCTCGCTCGAACTCATGAGCAACTGCCATTTCGAACAGCAGCCAATCAGAACCACCAAATCAGCTCGCTCAAAAAAACAAAAACAAAAAAAGTCAAACTCACTCTTTTGAACACCACCATTCGCTCTCATTGGTCGATATCAGCCTTGACTTCACCTCGATTGTACCAGACCCGCCGCTCGATTCACCTGCAGTTGAATTTTAAATCATAACCTTAAATCGGCAGATTGAATTACATAAAAGTATTTGTGTAATCAACAGTTCCAGGGTAGTTTATTGTTCAAGGTTTGTTTAACCTAAATCGTACCCCAACCCTATCCCAACCTCATCTTCATCCAACCCATCCACGATTTCCAGAATTTCCAAGCGCCACGTGGCACTCTACTTTTCTTGCTTTCTAATTCCTAGTCCCACGAACTACTTTCCAACATTCGCTCTTCCATGCTATATCGGCCTTGCTTGTATTCGCCATAATCATTCAATTCTTAACTCAGTTACTAATTTGCCTATTTTGTCATGGTCTTCGGCCACGTTTCATCCTCATTTTAATCAACCTCTCTATTCCTTAGCGCATTTAGGCCAAGGGGCCTAACACTTGGTATCAGAGCTTTTGCGGGGAGCGACTTCCAACGAGCAACCGTCGACGACGATAATACGACGTCATTGTTCTGCGGTGTCGACTTGTAGCCTTGGAGTTGTCGAGCCGACATGGACGAAACTATGAACACTCTCCCCAACGACATGGGCAACGCACTTGCCCAACTTATGAGCCAACACGAAGTGTTGACGTTGAAAAATCGGCTTGCACGAGCTGAAATGCAACAGATCCGTGATTTGGCTTCTAGCCCCGATGGTCATGTCGCACCAACTCCTGCACCGACTGGCGTGGAAGCGCTGTCGGAACGTCAAAGCACGCTCAAGCCGCAAAACCCCGAGCCGTTCGACCCAAGCCAATGCGACGCGAACGTGCGGACGTGGATCTTCATGATGAACAACTAGTTCGCCGCAAGCGGGGCGCAAGCATAGCAGTGGACCGAGTACTCTGTTACGCTGTTGAGGGGCCCGGCATTGGGATGGTGGCTCCAACCCACGCAAACTGCTATAAGAAGGGCACAGTTAGACAGGCATCAACAGGGCGAGGGGCATGCAGCTGCAACTTTGAGCTTAGGGAGTTTAGCTTTGGGTGTTTTCACGATTCCGACGACATGGAAAACGGCGTTGAAAGCTAGGTTTGATTTTGCGAATGCCTCTGAAGCTGCTAGGAAGCGTCTCCGTCAATTCCGACAGATAGGAAACATCCAGGTGTACACACGACGGTTCTTGAGCATCTATAACAAGATAGATGACATCACGGAAGCAGAGATACGCGATCGCTACCTCGGGGGATTAAATTCGGACATAGGAGATCATAGCGATTCACGGGCTAAGATGCATGGGGGGATTTTTTTCGGTCAACCTGAAAAAAACATCGCGCGCGCGAGTCGTGAAATTCGATTTCGCGAAATTTCAACCCCCTCCCACCCATTTCGACCTTGAAAAACAACCCCCGAACCAAAATTGAAACATCCCCCCAACAAGATTTGAAATGCGCATTATCTACAAAAGCCAACCACATTGGCTAACCACCAAGAGGTAAAGGAGCACAAATGAGGATTTGTGCTCCTCCTCTTTCACTTCTACCAAATCTCCTTCAAAAACCCTTGGGGTTTAGTTAGTGTCTTAACTTAACTATGGCTTCTCCTACTCCATCATCTTCCTCCGCTTCCATGAATGACGATGCCGTCGGCGAGGGTAGCTCGGCACGCGTTTCTATTCCGAAACACGTTATCTACAAACACTTCTATTTCTTTATGGATCCGACAAAGAAGGGGCAGCAAGTGGAGTGTCTTTTTTGCAACGAGAAGTTTTGGTTTAGTAGTAGCCGGTGCCCTCAATACCTCGCCGAATGGAACGATCCTAACGTGCGGCGCGAGGCGGGGGCCGTTTGCGCGAAGGTTCCGAAGCATATTTCGAACTGCATTCGCGACATTTTCGAACGGAAGGTCCATGCGCGCAAGGAAAAGGCGAGGGCGACGAAGCGATTGTCCTCTACCTCGCGGGGATGCGCACAGCGGAGCTTCAGTGCGAGCACCCCCTCTTCATCAACATGATTTGAGCCGTCGCGGCCGCCGGTACCAGCTACGTCCCCCCCAAGCGCACCTACGTCGGAGGCGCCGGCCTGCTGGAGTGCAAGCAGCGGATTGAGAAGGCATTGTTGCCCGTTATCAAGACGTGGAAGGAGACGAGCGTGATGATCGCCAGTGACATGATGACGGACAAGAGTGGGCGCACGCAGATGAACATCATCTGCATCAACGACAGTGGAGTTGTTTTCGCAGAGGCGGTCGACTGCAAGGCGGAGATGAAGAGTGGCGCATTCATCGCCGGCATCCTGCGGCTGATCATCGAGAGGGTCAGGCCAGAGCACGTCGTCGCGCTGTGCATGGACGGCGGCAGCAACTACAAATCTGCCTGCAAGCTGCTGCAGAAGGATTTTCGGCACATCGAGGTCGTCCCCTGCGCCACGCACGTTTTGAACTTGCTGATGGAGGATATCGGCAAGATAGGGTGGGCGCAGGAAGTCGTTGGCCAGGCCGACGACATGATCGGGTTCCTGGGCAACCACCAGTAGACTCGCGCCTTCCTGCGGAGCCCCGAGCTGCACGGCGAAAAAACGTCGCTGCAGGTGTTGCGACCTGCGGGCACGCGCTTTGGGACGCAGTACATCGAGGCGTGGGTGATGGATGGGGCGTGGTGGAAGAAGGCGGAGTTCTTTGTGCAGCTGATGGAGCTGCCGTACCCGGTGATGGGGAGGACGGATTCGTCGGCGAAGGGGATGATGGGCGTGATTTACGACATCATGCTGCAGCTGACGGAGGAGTTGGATGCGCTGCTGGATGGGAAGGACTCTCGACTGAGCAGGGCGGATAAGGAGGGGGTGTAGGAGCATTTGAGGAGGCGGTGGGAAGAGAGCCTGGCATGCCCCCTCCACGTGGCAGGCCGGATTTTGAACTCGGCCAACCAGGAGGAGGGGATTTTTCTCAAGGACGTTGAGTGCACCAGGGTGATGCAAGAGTGGCTGTCCCGCCAGAAGGCCTTCGTCGACAAATACTGGAAAAGGTACAGCAGCATGAAAGGACCGGTGCGGCCGCTACATGAGGGGATGCTGGCAAACATCAACCACAAGGGGTGCTTCAGGACGGAGAACGCGACAACGGGGCGTGCGGAGATTCAGGAGGGGAAGGGAGACGTGATGTTGTGGTGGCAGTATAACGGTCGGGAGTACGCCGACCTGTCGCGTCTTGCGCGCCGTGCGCTGTCCCAGCCCGTTTCCGCCGCCCCGTGCTAGCGGAACTGTTTCGTTTGGGATGGCGTGCACACGGCGCGCAGGAACCGGCTCGGGTCGGAGAAGGTGCGTGACCTTGTGTACGTTGTGCACAACTGGACTGTTGTGCACAACTATCACAAGGGTGTGGCGGAGGCATGGCCTAGTGTGGTGGAGGGAAGGAAGGGGGGGGTGGTGGAGGGCAACATTCCCACCGCTCCCCTCCCCGAGGGGTACAAGTTGGAGGAGGATGGGGAGGTGGAGGTGGACGAGGACGACGTGTGCGTCGATGAGTGGGCGCACCAGGACGAGCAGGAGGAGGGCGGCGAGGAGAGCGAGGAGGACGAGTGATTGCTTGAATATAGTTGTAGTAATATGCTTTGTGCTTGCTGCTGCTAGAGTGACTTGATTACTGGACCATGTAATGTGATGTGATGAGACTTGTGAAATCTATGTATGGGAAAAAAAAATGATATGGGAAATATTAGCCTCACATGTGGTATACGTCCATATCCCCCCCCTCCCCATGCCCCATAGAAGGTATTTTTGGCTGCCCATACTTTTTTTTTTGCCCGGGCTTGCGTCTATCCCAGCGTCTAATCTGCCCTAGACGCGCGTCCTGCGTCATGAAAGCTACGTCTAGACGCAGCGTCTTCTGCAACACAGCTCACGGGTTGTCCACCTTTGAGTCAGTTGTCATAGCAGCCGAACGCGTCGACGCAGTACGAAGCCGATGGGGTTGTGACAATCGCGATAGGAAATACAAGGATCCGATCAACAATAATCGCTCGAGGGATGGACCATCTAACATGGAAATTAGAGAACTGTCACTACTGCAAAAGCCGGGGCACATGAAGCGGGACTGTCCACGGCTTAAAGAGCGGCAGCAGGGAAACGGAGACCGCCAGTAGATAGCGGGTCGCGAGCTGAGGTGAGCGCTTCCAAACCCGCCAAGTCTACCAATGTAGGGGAGACAGCCTTGGAGTTGTCATCTACGCCGAACAAGGTAGACGCTGTTGATTGTCCATTCGTGCTTCTAGGGAAGCTTCGTGGAGTTCCAGTCAAGATTCTCGTAAATATTGGATCTACCCACTTGTTCGTTTCGTCTTCACTCGTTAGTCGTCCCCATGTGAAGATATCAACCCACTCATCCTGAAGGACAGCGTTGCTCACCAAGTTCGTAGAGAACGAGGGGAGATGAAGACCTGACAGTGAGCCAGACGGAACCACCGGACACGGCAGAACAGTCGAGGAACGTGCAAGGACTGGTCCCTTAGAGGGGTCAGCCAGAGAGACAGCAACAGGTGCAGAGAGCGGTGTGACTGTGGTACTATCGCGAAAGAAACAGCGGGAAGCACCTGAGTCAAGCGTGAAGGTGTGCAAGGCCGCAGCAGGCGCAGTACCAGAGAGAGCAGACTCACCAGCACCTAGAGCAGCAGACTCACTAGCACCTAGAGCAGCAGACTCACTAGCACCTAGAGCAGCAGCCTCTATACCTGGTCGGGCGGCACACACAGGTAACAGTCACCCTCAGCACTAACAGGCAATGCATACATGGCAGTGAGGATAGCATCATAGTCAAGAGCAAAGATATCCACTCTCTGCCTAAGCAGCTCCACCCAGCTGGGGAGCTCGACCGCGTCACCAAACTCTGTACGTTAGGCGTCGCTCAGACCGGCGAAGCAGCGGGACTGTGTGTGACCAATTGTCCCGCAAGTCTGACCAGCCCGATCACCTGTCCGAATGACGTACGGGCAGGGAGCAGTACTCCGAGACCCTCTACTCTGAGCGCACCACTCACGTAGCTGCTGTGGCGTAAGGGTCTCGCGCGGACGCTGCTACAGCTGCATCTGGCCACCGCCAGAAACTCCCGACCGACCAGCTCCTGGGCGACTGCCACTACGGCCGCCGCCACAACCCCAACTAGCGTACCACTCACGAAGCTGCTGGGGCGTGAGGGACTCGCGCGGACGTCGCTGGAGCTGTATCTGGCCACCGCCAGAAACTCCCCACCGAACAGCTCCACAGGGACTGCTACTACGGCCGCCACCACTCCCACTGCTGCCACCACCGCCGTCACCACTCCCACCGCTACTACGAAGTGAAGTCATAGCGGGCAAGCAAGGAGGCACGCGACCAGTAGGTCAGTACGAAGGGAAGGCATTAGCACGAGTAGCGGGCAGCAGGGCGCGCAGCAGCAGCAGTAAGAGCAGCAGAGCGGCTCGGTGAGACTAGGCTGCAGCACCTCCAGCACTTCTAGCAGCACTTCCACCAGCAGCAGCAGTAGCACGAGCAGCAGGGCGGATCAGGTTGGGCAGGGCGGCTCGGGCTGGGCGGCGCGGCTCAGCCTGGGCGGCGCGGGCAGCAGGGCGCGCGCTGTGCAGGGCAGCAGGGCACGATGCGCGGGCTGCAGCAGGGCGCGACACGCGGGCAGCAGGGCGCGACGCGCGGGCTGCAGCAGGGCGCGACGCGCGGGGCAGCAAGGCGCGACGCGCGGGCTGCAGCAGAGCGCGGCGCGCGGGGCAGCAGAGCGCGACGCACGAGCTGCCGTAGGGCGCGAAGCGCAGGGCAGCAGGGCGCGACGCACGGGCTGCAGCAGAGCGTGACGCGCGGGGCAGCAGAGCGCGGCGCGCGGGCTGCCGTAGGGCGCGACACGCAGGGCAGCAGGGCGCGACGTGCGGGCTGCAGCAGAGCGCGACGCGCGGGGCAGCAGAGCGCGACGCGCGGGCTGCCGTAGGGCGCGACGCGCAGGGCAACAGGGCGCGACTTGCGGGCTGCAGCAGGGCGCGACGTGTGAGCTGCAGCAGGGCGCGACGCACGGGCTGCAGCAGGACGCAGGGCAGGGCGTGCGCGGGGCAGCGCGACGCGGGGCAGGGAAGGGCGTGCGCGGGGCAGCACGATGCGGGACAGGGCAGGGCGTGCGCGGAGCAGCGCGACGCAAGGCAGGGCAGGGCGTGCGCGGGGCAGCGCGACGCAAGGCAGGGCAGGGCGTGCGCGGGGCAGCGCGACGCAAGGCAGGGCAGGGCAGGGCGCGCGCTGACGGCGCAGCGCAGGGCAGGGCGTGGGGTAACGCGGTAACCGCAGTCGGTCACTAGGTAATGGTGGGCCCGAAAACAAAAACGGTCCTACGGACCTACTGCTCTGAAACCATGTCAGAAACTAACGAGCAGGAATGTATGAACTAGCAGCAAGATGGGTACAAGTAGGAAACCTTAATTGGGTTGTACCCCATATGGGCTACCCCACTACAGCCTACACAATAAGCAGCATATAAGTTTGACACAACTGGGCAAGGCCAGGGGCACAGGGCGGCAATTAGGGAGCGGTTGTAGAAGTTTTGGGCCGAGGAGTGGCGGCAGCTGTTTGAGTTAGCGGGGGCGGCAATGCAACCAGCGGCTCGTCCTTTGTCCTTCACCCCTCTCGAGCATGACCCTGATGCAGTGCGCCTGGCTCGCTGTCGCACAAGGTGCAAAGTGGGAGAATGGAGTCGGGGCTTGGCGTGTCTTACTGCTGGCAGCATGGCGCAGCCCTCCCAGCACATGGTGGACGCGCTACGGGCGAAACACCCATCGTGCGAGACCGCCATCCCGGAGTGGGTGCAGGAGGTGACAGTTGAGCCGTCTCTTATCCCCCAGCTTTCTGTGGAGGTACTCGGCCAGGCGATCCACTCAGCGGCTCGGGCGTCTGCACCAGGACCATCGGGGTGGGTGACGGAGCACCTGCGCGACACTTTCCTCTCTGAGCCTGCATACCTGCCTCACCTGCTAGGGGTCTTCACCCAGTGGACTAAGGGAGAGGTAGCGGAGCGCGTGCGACCCTGGCTCACTGCGTCCAACCTTGTGGGTTTGTCGAAGCCGAATGGTGACGTTTGTCCGGTGGCTATAGGCGAGGTGCTCCCCCGCATACTATCCAGGGCCCTTTGCATCGTGCTTCGCCCGAAGATGTTGTCGCACTTCACTCCGTGTAACCAGCTTGGAGTCGGGTCCAGGTCGGGAGTGGAATTCCTGGCACACGCCTTTGGATCCGCCATCTCTACTCACCCGTCGTGGTGCGCGCTTCAAATTGACGTGGCGAACGCTTTCAACTCCTTCCATCGGCGGGAAATGTTTGAGGGCCTCCGCAAGTCGCCGTCCGAGGGGTTGATTCCACTCTTGCGCGTTTTCTACGGCACCTCTAGTGACCTCTACCTCCGTGAGGGCCCCTTCGTCGAAGCTTTAGCTTCCGAGCGGGGCTCGAGGCAGGGAGACCAATTGGGGCCGTTCCTGTTCGCGTTCACACAGCAGCTGGTTATGGAACCGACCAAGCAGGAATTTGCCGACCTTCTTTTCCTCAGCTACGCCGATGATACGTATATCTTGGGGCCCAGGGAGCGGGTGTTGGCAGCCTATGGGGTCTTGCGGGAACGATTGGGCGGGCTTGGTCTGGAGGTGCAGCCGCATAAGTGCAAGCTGTGGGAGCGAGGGGTGGACCAGGAGGGAGAGGAGAGGAACGAGCCAATTCCGCCCGGCATGCAACAAACCTGGACGGGGCTTACTGTAGTAGGCGTTCCCATTCGGGAGGAGGACTGGGAGGTGGCTCGCCTACGAGCGAGGCTGACGGAGCTGCAGGCGCCCATCCCA